GGGTCTCACGTGTTTGTTCAAGGGCTTCCCTGGCTAGGTGTCACAGCAGATCGGCACTTCGTGCCATCCGGCTGCATCACGCAGGCGTGCGCACGAGGCACCAGAATCCTTTTGTCGCAGTGTGCATCCTGTCGGAGGGCGTGGCAAGCGAGCAATATGCATTCCTAAAGAAAAGCCGTGGAAAGTGGCCAAGCATCTTTCTTCGCACTTGGTGGATCTTGAGATCTAGATGTATACAGATGTATAACGTAGAGCATTCAGAAGGCGCATATCCACGCAGCTGGCTCTTCGCTCTTGTCCACTGTCTCTTGTTCATGAGGAGAGCCCAGTTTCAATGCGAACTTCATCATCATGGTGTGGACGATTGTTCGTTTGCATCGGTGTGTTTGCGATTTGGTTTGTTTTCTACGTGCCGGCTTTCGGTGTAAAGATGATACTCGATTGGCGTGTGTGTGTGTGTGTTTGTTTGTATATGTGTGCATGTATAATCACTGAAAGAGACGAATGCAAAACCCTTCTGTCAATCAGTCACATCTGTGGTCTGAAAGCTCATGTGCGTTAATACAGGTACACTTACATACGTCGTCATTCTTTCTTTCATTACCTACCTAGCTACAACACTGTTACATTCATCTTCTCCATGTGATATTGATATGGACGCCTCAACTGCTGCCACTCGCCTTGCAAGGGGGACCCTCTCAGCAACTCGGGCGCGTGGCTTTTCGCCAGTGCAGCTCCGTGCGGCGGTTAGTTGCCCGCCGGCACCCGTGCATACACTCGGACCTGCGGCTCGGACTGACAGGGTGCAAATATGGGGTTTAGGAGATTCAAGGGGTTGGGAAATTTGAAGTTGTGATCTCACGATAGGTCTTGGAGTCTTGGAGCATGCGAGCTGCGAAACCGCTGCGCGCTGAAGGTGTTCTCAGTGGAGCTGCACGGACTGGCTCGTGAGGCAAGCCACCCGGAAAAGAGCGAACTTGCCTTGAGTTTCAGCTTTCCGATGGTTCCCGGGGGTGCATTTGCTTGCAAGTACACAGTTGCATGCTTGTAGGTGCTGTGCTCGCGTCGAGAGGAGGGTCACTGCAAGATTATCTAGGCCGCGGGGGTGGGTTCTAAGATAAGTGCCACTGCCACCCCAAAACCTGCCGTCAACCTTCCGAAATTTTATCTTACTTGTAGAGGTACTGCCAGGCAAAGCCGGATTCTGGGGGGCATGGCGTACCCACGAAGCTCTCGTTGTCACAAGACAGTAAAGACCCCCAAGCTCCGACCATGGGCCGCTCCCGGCAGCACAAACAAACTCTTCATCCCGGTCGTAGGTCCCAGGTCGGAGCTTCTACATCGGCACGGGCAGTTCTTCGCGAAGCCGAGACTGACCGAACCCCAACCATGCAGAAAGTCTCAAAAAACGGAGTCCCAAAAAGCCAGGCCCGAAACCCCCCCCCCCCCCCCAAGAGCCCAAAAGCAACCGGAAAGTCCACCCCAAAAGGCCCTCTTGGAGCGATTTCGGGCAGTTGGCCAGGAGGGCGCCCGGAGTCCAAGAGTTTCCTCCTTGGGACTCGGATGGGCTCATAGGCCCCTAAGTAGTTCCT